CTCATAAAGGGTTGAAAGATCAGCTGGCAAATATAAACTGCTACACACCAATATTACAAGAACGAACACCAAGAAGAGGTGTAAATGAATAAACTGATTTATCTCCAACTAGCTATCCGAAATAGACTGCTTGTGAATTAAATGGCTTACAAGAACAATCTTATCTAAAACGTCATCAACGCTATCGTTCCAATGCTTATCCCCAAAGAATACCAATCGCTGTGGTTGGTTGATTTTGACATTACAGTACTTTTCGTTCACCATTTCGCTGATAAAACCAATCAGATTTTCCTCCTCAATATTCATCACCTTGACTATCTGTTCAATTTTAATTTTTGAGAAAAACCTTGAAATCACAAAAAGATTGTGCTCCATAATGCTTGTCTCGAGCAAAGTTTGACTCACATCGCCGGCATACTTTGAAATACTTGCCGAGATCTCGTCAATTGTGCCAAAATCAATTATCAGATCTGAAGAGAATGTCTTAAGATACACCCTCATGGCCTCATCATTATTTTTAAATTCAAAAAACTTCTTCAGCAAACTCTTCTTCTCGTCAATAATGTTTCGGTCCTCCGCCAAGCAGCTGCTCATTAAACAGTAGAGCGAGCCCATCGCAACATACTTCTTGGACTCGTCAACCTCATTAAGCTGTAAAAACAGCTCCGAAGCTTCGAGAAAGCGGTTCTGTGCTATTTTTAAGAGAATGCTGTAGTTTAGAAAGATGATCTTTTCTTCATTTGTTAAAAAACTTCTTCGAACCTTCCGGGAAGTAAGCTCGGCATCATCCAGCTTCTTCAGCAGTAGGGCGAGTCTAAACTGCTCAAACAAAAACATATTTCTCTTCCTGTCTGAAATGGTAGTAAATGTTTCAACTGGTATGTCCTTGACCAAGGCATAGCTCTCCTGAATATTATTTCCCAATGCGTTCTTAACATACTCAGCGATATCAACCCTCTCCTCTTCCAAGAAGATCCTACCCTCAACCACCTTGCTGAGGAGATTCTTAAGAAATCCTATATCTCTGTGTGTGTCAAAGACGTTTCTTATTAGTTTTTTTATGCATTCGGGCTCCTGCTTCCTTTTGTTTATGAGGAGGCGAAGAGTGGAGATGACCTCCTCCTCAGAATGGCAGTTAGAAAGGATAGCTTGCTGTATCTCCTCCAGCTTTTTTATGTCACCACTTGTCCGCGCATTTCTCTCCTGTTCAAAGAGCTCTTCCATGGGCCGATTTAAACAAAGGCATTTATTTCAAAAATAGATATACTTAATATATGTTTGCATTTAA